ATTCCGCTGAGGAAAATGCGACTTTAAAGGCTGCCTGAAGTAGCCCGGCTGGCACCTTCGGGCCCAGCCGCCCCTCGCCGCGATGGCAACGCCGCACCGCGGGGCTTCCTCAGCGCTCCCGCCCCGCCGCCTCCCGGGGCACACAGCGGCCAGGCAGCCGGCTCCTTTCTGATAGGCTGCGCTGTAGAAAAAACATGATGTCAGCTCGGGTTTAAGTGCTATATATAGTATGTGGACAAGACTACAAACTCCCGGGATCTGTCTTTGACCAAGAGGTAAGGTGGTTTAAAAACCAAAAAAAAACCCCTCAACCAAAACACCCCACACCACCCTTGTTTTGAAGCACAGTCATCCAAACCGCTGTCACCAGACAGCCCTTACCATTGCTTTATATCGCAGAATATCTGGGGCAGTTGCTCCAGGCCTCTCGCCACTGAAGTCATTAACTGCACTGTAAAGGTCAGCCTCGCAGCTTTGGAAGGTCAGTCTATTTTTACCGCCTAGAACTACGATTAAAAAGTGCTTCTCAATTTACAGTCACTCTGTTACAGTTTATAATGCTTTTTTCTTTCAAAGGTGGTATATTTTGTGGAATTGCAAAACAATTTAGAATTAACCATATACTTCATACACCATACTTAACCATTTACGTCATCCCATACCCTTATAACTGTGTCTTACTAAAGTGTGTTCATACAATCCATTTAGGGGCAGTCCAAAGGCCTTGACATTCATGGAAACACTTCCACCCATTTCAAACTGAGTTTGTTACCTTTTGATTGTTAATTTTTTTCTCTCTTCCTTCACTGGCTCCTCCCTCTGAACATTCTAAGAAATCTGTTTGTTCCTCATTATAGTTCACATTTTTTGGTATTGTTGAGAAAGGTTTTCATGTGGGTGTAAGTCAGTATGTCAACTTTTAAGCCCCCTGACAATATTAGGGTCCCTAGACAGACTGGGCGAAAATGCCTAGTCAAAGCCCCACTGTGTTTGTGCAGTTCCCCTAACATTCATCTCAGTGAGACTCATTCAGATATGATTCAAACGTGATATCTCCAGTCTGGATTATTTTACAAGGATATTTCCTGGGGGCCCTGCAAGATTCTCCCATCTTGTCTTTTCTAGTCCCCTTATTCCTTACTCAGCTTGCTGGCCTGCATGCTTTGTATACAGGACATACTTGCAAATAGCAGAAGGTCCGCTCTCCCGGTATGCTGGCTGTTTTCTCTGAGTTGGATGCATCCCAGTAAAGATACAATGTAGGAAGGGTAAATACAAAAAGCTCCAGCAGGTATGGGAGTCATAGGCCCCAAACCAAGACATATCATTGAAAGAGGTTTGGACCATCTCTTTGCTGTGGTCCTCATTAGGCTTCAGTATCTGGAAGTGACTTTGCAGTTGGTCTGCCACAGAGCCTTGCACAAGTGCGTCTTCCTCCAGGCTTGCTATTGTCCTGTCCCATACTGCAAACAGGATGAGACTTAGACATTTTATGAGCTGCTTATGCAGTGAACAGTTCTGAGAGAGCCTATGTAGCCATGTCCCTTGCATAGTTACCCTAAAGTGCATGCTAATACCTTGTGAAAAGCAAGGAAAACCCGAAAGGGTATTACTGAAGGCAATTTCATCACTGCTGCCAAGTTTTAAAATGTAGCTCGTTTGTTTTCCCTAGCTAATAGGGAAACTCACCCTACTCACCAGGTTTGCACTACCACATCTCCACTGTACTATGCATTTAGACAGGTTTTGAAATGTATCCAAGTTTATGAAAAAGTATTTTTAAGTTTCTCAAGACAAAAATAATTAGGAGACTCCTGAATCAGCCTCCTGATTTCAAATCCTGAAGCAGTTATTTTGACCAACATCTGTGATTGTAGCTAAATGGATGCCAGCAGTCTAAATGAAGGACTTGATCCACTACACAGTACTATTAAATCGATAATTAGAAGAGTGTAATTTCATTTGCCTTCAGTTCAGTGTGAAAACAATACTATTACAAAGATAGCAAATGAATATAGGAGGTCTCTTGATGAAGTTCAATCAGGAAAGCAGAGCAGACTATCCTAATTCTTTCTCCATCAACATCACCTCTTACGGTGGCACATCCTTTACAGACTTTGGGCCTGTGTTAATTTAACAGATGTAAATTGAGCAGGCTTTCTGAATATGGGAACCACACCAGCAAAACATCATGCATAAGTGCTACCATTTAGTGTTGCAGGTATTGTATAGGACACAGCAATCACAAATGGCATTTGCTACATTGGCATCTAAACAGTGGATTTCACGGTGCCATTTTTATCTTCTGTTCGCAGTTTGTCTGTGTGTGATGTGATACACCACAGCAGGAAAAGATCAATAGTTGCTTCAAAATAAGAGTGGATGCCATATCAATGTCATTATCAGGAAATAATTTTCAAGCTTTTTCAAACACATTAATACCAGAATTTTTCAGTCCTTTTACATTACACCTTCCCAGTACTCCCTCCCTCCCTTCTGTTTTGCAACACAGTATTACAGAACACTTAACCTAGCAGTGGCCTCAATACACTTTGGGGAGCCTGTTCACTAGGTGTCAGATCATGCTCACGTCATATTGCTTATGCCTATTTTAAAGGTCATGACTGTAAAGTGTGGGAAATTAAGAGTACTTACATGACAGTACTTTTTTTTTTTTTAACAACAGAACAATAGCTCCCAATAACAACAATAAAAGCCAGCTAGCACACACAGAACTTAACTGAACATCTAACTAAAATTAAAAGCAGATTCCTTTGGCCTGTATGCAGGAGATATGAGACTTCATAAAATTTAAAGTGACAGCACAGTTTTTCTCAGTGCCCCACGCTCATGACCTGTAAATTCATGCATTAACACTGTGCTATTGTTCTAACAATAGGAAGCTTAGGAGATGTTGAATCTTCTGTCTAGCTGTTGTCTTCTAATGGGGAGATCTCATCCAGAAATGCAAACCTGATTTTGAAAGAAAGCTCCTTTCTTTAAAACTGTATCTCTGCAATTTGATTAGACTGCAGTCTTTTCTGTGAGTTAGATCTTTGCTATGCAGTGACTGAAAACAAATGCTGTTCTTAGACACATTACATGCCCAGAAGGAATTTACATATGGCCTTGGATATTAGAATCTAGTACTGAGAGAAAATATTCGTCAGAACATTGAAGTAATCACCTGTAACCTATTTTTAAAAAATCTGTTCTACATAAGTAAACTTATAGCCTGATAGGCAGGGAATAAATAGTAGGCTAGAATAAAAATGTCTATATAGGTAAGAAATCGGATGAGATGGAAAGGCTAGGATACTAGCCTGTGCAGTTTGTTCTTACTGAATATGTAAATGCCCTTTCCTCTAGTTACTTGGCAGTGTTGGTTTGACCTTTCAAAGATGAACCTGCTCTCATCATGAATTCTTGGATTGCAGAAACGTTTTTCGGGTTTTTTTACTCCCAGCTTGGCCATTCTATTACTGTGTGACCTCAATCAATGCTCTCTGCTTTAATGCCTGTGTAAAGTTAGACTGCTATTAATTTTTAATAGAAAATTGTAAAATTCAGTGCATTTATCTTTAAAAAATTCTGTTATAGTTAAATGTAGTTTTTCACATAATTGCTTAAGATACATTTGACTATGCTTTAGCTAACAGCATCACATTAATTTGATATTAATAATATTCTGCAAGTGTGGTGACTTGGCAAACAAAATTTTAAACTAAGTGTTCTTGTACCATTTAATTTAGTTAAATGTAAAATAAATTCGTGTGTACTGGGCCGATTTTTTTTTTTACAATGAGAACATATTACAACAGTTGGCTGAATCACTACCAGCACTTCCATCTTCCTGTAAATTGTTCCATATAACAATGGTGAGATATGCTGAGATTTAACACTTCAGAGTATCTATTCCTAAAGGAACTCTAGTAGTGTTTTATCAAGCAGATCTACTCTTTAAGTTTTATATTTCCTCCTCAAAAATAAATATTTAACAAGTGTCTCTTGCACACTCCATTTTCTTTAAAATGCTTCCTTCTACTCTATCAAACTATAGTGAAATTATCATGGATATTTTCCTGGTCCATTAAAATAACAACCCTTTAATCTTATCTAGACAGATCTTTAAGATCAAATAGTAAACAACTGATTGCACTTGTGTCTGTTGTATAAAACTGGCATCTGATTTCTTAAGCAAAGAAATAACTACATACTAGTTCCACATAACCTGAGATTATCTGAAAGCTAACACTGAGGTCTGTGGGTCTGCTTTGTAATCTTTCAGCACAGATAGACTTCAAGCCATAGTAATTTAAATAGTCTACCATGCTGTAATATGTTGCAGAAGGAGAATATTTCGCCAAATGTACGACTACAGCAAGCATTTGTTTTAAAAGATAATTTTAATCTCTTCCTCATCTTCATGCCTTGGGACAAATTCCTGATTTCTCATTGCCAAATCACTTTCAGTCCCAGGCCTCCTTTCAACCCGTTTTTCAATTCTAGCACCAAGTTAAATATGACAAGGAAGAGCAGGGAAAATGATGCAAGTGTGGTTTGTGCTAGAATGCTACAAAGCTAAAATTCAGGCTGGCAAATCTTTTGCTATATCGCAATCAATGTACCTAATTCAGCATTTACAGTTACATCACTAAACGCTGCTACCAGAACTCCAAAGTTTGATCTTACACTGCTGCCAGAAATCCAAAGTCCTTACTTAATATGTGTCCTATTGATATAATCAGATGTTTTGGTTAGCCATGAATTTGAGTTTAGGGTGACTGATGGTAAGTAGCTTGCTCGTAACTGGGCAGCAGCTCCCATGTGAACTCAGAGGAGCCAGGAATTACTGCTGTATGTTGTGACAAACTGCTGCTGCTGATCAGCCTTTTTAGAGTATTTTACCAGTGCAAACCACTGGCTTACCACACCAGCTGGATTCTTGCTGGTGGAGGAATCACTGCCTCAGACAGTAGTGCAGTACTGATGTTTTGCCGAAGAGTATGCCAGTAACATGTTTGTTGGATGACTGCAGATGCTGTGCAGCAGGTTTCCCCAAAGTCTGGAATGTCCTTGGAGGTACTGGGTTGCACAGAGACTGTGAGCCAGAACAGACAGGATGCAGAAACAACCACAAAACCATGGATGAAATGCAAAGAGTAAATTCATTCTAGTTACCTCGTGACCTAGGGAATCTCCGCAGCAACATCTGGGCGGAGGCACGCAAGTGGGGATGCAGGCACCACGGAGCTCAGTCCTTGCTAGCCAGAAAGAAGTGAAGAAAGAAAGTATCTCGAACCTACTGCTTTCACCTATACATATCAGATTTTTGCAGGCATATTTTTCCACTGTGCTTTGGTCTTTCCTATGTTTGATAGGGTGCCTCTGAACCTCTCACAGGCTTATGTTGTAATATCTAAACGCAGACATTCTACCTATCAAGTACACAGGGCTAAACAACAATTAGTGAGATACTGTTTTTCAGCACCCCAGCTGCAAGTCACTTGAGTGTGTTTACACAACCCTTCTCACCAATCTTCCGTTGTGTTCCCACAGAAACTATGTACTAACCTGGCTCTGCAGGAGGCAGCTTTCCATAGCATCTCTGGACTGGGTCACTTACACCTCATTTGATATTCCCCTGTGCTCATCAAGTGAGGACTGCTGCTTATAGGACTTGAAAGCTGGTATGAAACAATCTTCTCTCATATTCTTCTCACAATTCTCCCATGTTGGATGTGCCTTTTACCAGCTCTGTCACAATCTTAACCAGCTGATTAGCTTTTGAAAGTCTCTGCAAGCATTTAGGTGAGACTTGCTAAAGTAAGAGCTAAAATCCCTGCAAGCATTCCTACTGAGCATACTCAAACATCACCACACGGTTCCCCCACGGAGGTACTGGGCATGTGCTAACTCACATGTTGCTACAACTAACAGCATTGTGCATCATGCATCATCCCTACAGAACGATTTCTTGTGCTTCAAGACAGAGCAACCACAAAACCCATGGACATACCAGGTCTGACCAAAGAATGCATTTATAAGCCATAAAGGAGACAAATTGAGAGCTACTGAGAAAAAGGTGAAAAACTGAAAATAAGTTGTCTGTGAAAGGACCAATGAGATGAAAATGAGTGGGAAAAATAGTTCCTAGTCCGAGTGAAAGGTAAGAGGAAAAAAAATTGTGGCACAGAGTGAAATTGAGATTGGCTGGCAAAAAAACCTGATCGGTGTGTGGAAGAGCATTGTACTAGATTTCAATTAATCTCATAGTTTCACATTATGAATTGTGTAATCAGGTCTAAAGTACCTTAAACTGAAGCACTTCCAGGTCAATGCTTTTGTCAGCAAGCTCTTTGCTCCCTGTGAAATGGGATAATAAGATCTCATCAGATCTCAGTAACAGAATAAAATTAATAATTTAAAAAGCACCATAGAAGTGGTGAAAAATATAGAAAACAATAAAGTTAATAATTCAGTACTTTTATTAGATAAAGCTTCAATATAGTGCATCAGATAGAGAGATGGCCTACATGCCTTGAAGTTGGTAAAATTATTGCTGTCCTTTATCCATTTATTTAATTGTGCTGTGCACTGAATTAAGTAGAGACTCTTTCAGAAAAGTGGCAAGTTGTCATTGTATCATAGCAGCTATAAACACCTGGCTCATATTGATATCAGGGAATCAAACTTAATTCTTTAATTTCAGATAAGCAAGGAATTATTTTTTTGAAAAAATTCGCTTTAAATCAAAGTCGACACACATTTTCGTGGAAAGCTATTGTGGGTGTACTTAAGCTGTTGATGTGTCAGAATAGTTACAAAAGGAAAGCAAGTTTCTGTGTAGTCACGTGGAAAACCTTGTTTTACTTAGTGGCTAATGCCACCAGGTGGCTAGTTAGTGTAAATGTCTGAAAGCCGTAAAATGCTTTTTTCTTTTACTTCTAGGTAAACAAGTACTTTCGTATGTTTCCAAGTGTTAATTTTTATGTGTGACATAAAAAAAATTAAAAATAGTGAAAGTAGAAAGGACTGATTAGTAGAGAGGATTAAACCCCAAAGAGAAGCATACAATAAAAGGATATTTCTGGAGATTAGTGGAATACACTTACCTAGTTTGCAGGTTAACAGTAAGTCAGTTGGTAAAAATGATTAAGTGTGAAACAGTGCCAAAGCTCAAGGAAAAAGAATTAATTAATTATGGAGAAAAATGTTATCCTACATTGTGACTTTTATCATAATTTACTTCCTTTTAGATGGTCAGGATTGTTTTATTGACTCAACTTTCCCATCTCCTTGGGGAAGAAAAAAAGCATATGCAAATTGCTTTGGTAGGAAAAATAAGGGAATATTATTGTTATTATTTCCCTAATACATATTTAGCCAAGACAATAATGCTGAAAAGCTTGAAAAATTCTGAAGTCTAGCCCTGTAAGTGTAGGATACACAAGTGAGGTGAATAAATATCAGGACTGTTACCTTCATAGGAAGACCAGTATCCTGCATGTATTCTGCCAAATCTAAATACACTTTTTCAAACGCATGTCAATATATCAAAATAGTAACAAAATCTTCTTAGATCTAAGTTATCCCTCATCAAAACAATATGATAGGGATGCAGCCTTTTTGCACATCACTTGATTTGAACTCACGCGAGGTTTTACTGTGATAATCTTGCCAGTAACACATTTGCTTAGTAGACACATATATGAAACTTGAGCAAGGGCTGACCTCCTAAAATACCACAGTTTTGCTGCATAGTTGGCTTCATACTCAAGAGAAAAATTGATTACAAGGAACCACATAATAACATGGGTTCTCTTCAGACCTAGCTTCAATGGCTTATTGTTTTCCATATTACTTTGGGCTTAAAAGATAGCATAGCTATCAGTATATGCCTTGGACCGCACAATATTCAATTTCCAAAATTATATATATTTTACTTGTTTCCTCAGTTCTTAAGCAACATAAATTCCCCTTTATATACTCAGCATGAAGTTTCCTTTATGAAATTGCTGTTGCTTTCAAAATTACAAGTTTTACTTACTTCCTTGAGATCCTGTAACAAACTATGCAAAAGAAGTCATTGGCTTCTTTTCATGTTACATTGTTCATTTGCCACCTGACATTGTCATCCTCTGACATAGTTCAATAGTAGATTACACAACTTTATCTCTCTTCAGGCTTGCAGGAATACTAAAAACTAAGCCCCATCCCTCTTTTTTTAAAGGAGATTAGTATGTCTGAAAAGACTCCTTCCAGACAGATTGATGATGCAGAAGGAATATGGGTATTTGTAGTCAAAGAGTAATTGTTTTATCCTGATTCTCTTGGTGTTTTCCTGGTTTTCCTGCTTTATAGCTCATTGGCAGTACCTAACACCTGAAATAAGAGAAGCTATAAAATGAGAAGCAAAAGAGTATTCCCTCTCTTACCCACTTTACTTTTCACAGATAAATGAATTTTTTTCTTAAACTCTGATTACAGTTTCCAACAGGAATGTAGCTCACATTTTCATCCCTCCTTGTGGGTCTTAATGAGAAAATTACTACCATATATCTTATATTTATAACAATCGTAGAATACCAGGTTGGAAGGGACCTCAAGGATTACCTGGTCCAACCCTTCCTGGCAAAAGCACAGTCTAGACAAGATGGCCCAGCACCCTGTCCAGTGTTGGGGAATCCACCACTTCCCTGGAGCGATTATTCCAGTGGCTGATGGTTCTCATTGTGAAAAATTTTCCTCTGTGTCCACATGGAATCTCCCCAGGAGTAACTTGTACCCATTTCCCCTCATCTTTTCCACGTGACTCCTTGTAAAAATGGAGTCTCCATCTTCTCTATAGCCACCCTTTATATACTGGAACATGGTGGTAAGGTCTCCCCTAAGCCTTCTTTTCTCAAGGCTGAACAAACCCAGTTCTCTCAGCCTTTCCTCACATGGCAGGCTACCCAGTCCCTTGATCATCTTTGTGATGATCTTTGGACGATCTCCAGCCTGTCCACATCTTTTTTGTTTCAGACATATACACACCATTTTGTCAGTGAGCCAAGACCCTAAAATAAGATCTTAATATTTTGATATTAATTCCACTATAATCTGTGTCTATGAACCTAAATATTGTCAAGAATATCGGTCACTGTGATGACCCGTTTTCATACTGTAGAGCGTATTTGTGAGTGTTTGTCATACTAATAATGTATTTGCAAGGAAGGCTATTTTTAATCAGCATAAATTAATTAGAAACACACAAGCACTTAATAAAGCATGTATGTATTTGGGTTTACAATTTTATCAAACTCTTTCATAGTTTGGGGGCTTTATGAATGGCTGTTGTAAACTGTTTTTTCTTTTTCCTAAGCTAGGGGGAAATACCCATATTTAAACTACTGATTATGTGTTATGTTTCTTCAGCCGCTGTACACTTAGTGAGATGTCAGCTTCCCAGTGACTTCTGAGCACGATAATACAAGTGTAACAGTCAAATCATTTGTCTCATTAGGCAAAGTAGTTTTTTCATATTAAATATATCTCATAATATGCTATTGCAGAGTACCTCTAAAGTTAATGTTGCTTTTATAGAAACTGAGAAAACAGTGGAACACTAACAGAACATTTGCAAGTCTGCTATGTACTGCTAAGTACTTTCTAAAGAAACATGGCTGAAGTAGTATTGAAATCACTAGCACTGCTCAGACCTAATAAGCAAGAGCCCTCCAGTCAAGGTGTTTGTTAACAGAATCACAATATTTCTGTTCTGTGGGAAGGCAAAATTCCTTTTGGATATTCATTAAATAATTTCCTTTTTGTGCTGCTTTGATTTGCAAGCAACTGAGGACTTGGAATAAAATGAAGAAAAGTAGAACTCAGAGGAGCTCGTGTAAATAACTGAGGTTTCTGCCAACAAACCCCCAGTTACAGCCAGTTATTTGCTTTCTTGATACGAAAAACCTGTTGTTGCAGGCCCGTACACGTGAACACCTTTAGGCATATGAATAGCACCGCACACGAGCTCTGCAGGCTTTTACAAGGATCCCCTTCTCTCAGTGAAGCCTACGGGGCAAGACTCCAGTTGTAGAGCCAGGACATTCATCAACACCTCCACCGTTTGGAGACTGCAAAGAAACTCCATGCCCTTAACACGCTTCCCAGGAGCCCACCCCTCCCGGGGACTCACACCGGTTCCTGAGGGCTGTTTCGCGTGTCTCCGGACG